AAGATACCTGAAAATGTGGAAGTGGCCATGAAACTGGGTAATGGGTAGAGATTGGAAGATTTTGGAGGACTCAGAAGAAGACAAGAAGATGAGAGAAGGTTTGGAACTTCTTAGAGACCAGTTAAATGTTTATATCCAAAATGCTGATAGTAATATGAATGATGAAGTCCAGGCTAAGGAAGTCTAAAGTGGAAATAAAGAATTTATTGGAAATTGGAGCAAAGGTCATGCATGCTATGCCATAGGAAAGAGCTTGGCTGAACCGTGTCCATGCCTGAGGCTTATGCAGAAGTTTGAATATGAGAGTAATGACCTAGAGTATCTGGTGGAATAAATTTCTAAGCAGTGAAGTATTCAAGATATGGCATAGCTACTTTTAGCAGCCTACCCCAGATGTGAGAGCAAAGAAATAAGTTGGAGCATATATTTAAAAGGGAAGCAGAATATAAAAATTTGCAAAATTTTTATTGAACCAGCAAATTCTAAAACATTGCTCTTAGCAGAAATACATGGTTAGGTTCCTGCAAGCCTCTAGTCATAACATTTTTTGTCACCTGATGTATGCATACCCTTGTTTTATGTGTGTTTCTGTTTATAGGCATCTCATTTTATATATTGCTGATTCATTAGCATTGAATTCCTGGTCAACAATATGTTGCCTGACTCACATGTGGCCATGTGGGTAGAAAGTAAAAGCTCATTTTCAGGGGAGGAATTCAAGCAGACTATGAAAATTTCTATACAAAAAATAGAGGCAAGTGCTGATAGCCAAGACAGTGGGGAGAAGGCCTCAAAGGCACTTCAGAGATCTAAGAGGCAGCCCCTCCCATCAGAGGCCTAGGAGGGCAGAATTGGTTTCTGGGCAAGGCCCAGGGCCTTGCTGACCTATGCATCCTTGGGACAATGCTCCCTGCATCATGGGTGCTCCAGCTCCAGCTAGCATAAATGGTCTATGTGCAGCTCGAGCTACTGCTTCAGAGGATGCAAACAGTAAGCCTTGGTGGCTTCCACATGGTGTTAAGTCTGCAAGTGCACACAGTGCAAAAACTGAGGCTTGGAAGCCTCTGCCTAGATTGTGGAGGTTTTCTGGAAAAGTCAGTAGTGTCCCTGCTGCAAGGGTGGAACCCTTGTAGAGAATCTACGAGGGCAGGATGGAGGGGAAAGGTGGGCTTGGCATCTTCATACAGAGTCTCTACTGGAACACTGCTTAGTGGAGGTACAAGAAGAGATCTATCACTTTCTAGTTCCTAGAATGGTAGATTCACCAACAGCTTGCACCTTGCACCTGGAAAAGCTGCAGACACTCAACACCAGCCTGTGAGAGCAGCTGTAAGGACTGAACCCTGCAATGCCACAGGGGCAAAGAGGCCCAAGGCCTTGGGGGCCCACCATTTGCACCAGTGTGCCTTTGATTAGGGACATAAAATCACAGGAGATTATTGTGGAACTTTACAATTGAATGACTGCCCTGCTGGATTTCAAACTTGCATGAGGCCTGTAGTCCCTTGCCTTTGGCCGATTTCTCCCTTTTGGAATGAAAGTGTTTAATCAATGCCTATACTCACTAGAGGAGGCAGATAGCTAGACATGAGCAGGTGAGGAGAGCTTATGAGAAAGGGAGGTCTGGAAAGTCTCCCTAGGGACCACCAAAATCCTACATGCTAGACATAAGCTGAGAGGAGGGGAAATACCTAAGCAGAAAGGATTTCCCCAGTAATTACTCACTGTAGTTAACCTATCATAATGTAGTTACACACTGATAAAGAGAAAATAAGAAATTAATAAGATATGTACAGGCATAAAAAGTACAGATTTAACTGCTATATGACCTTCCTGGGGTTGCAGTTATGAGCAATGCTGTCATTGGGTAGAATTTGTATATGGTACTGGGCCCCCACCTGCCATTCAACTAATGGCAGGTAATAGTAAGGGAGGGCCTCAACTATTCGGTGAATCACAGTTCCTCACCTAGTCCCACCTTGTGTCCACCTAGCTTCCACCCCATTTCCATCTCTAACACATGTTCACCTCTTTTCTGTTGTTGATTTCATCACCCCATGGTGGAAACTAGGTGGGAACAAGGCAGAGTGGAAACACTAGACAAAGAAAGCAGGTGGAGACTTATAACAGAGGCAGGAACTTCTGGAAACAATCTGACATAATAAAGACCCCAAACACATAACTCTCAAGCTGCTGATGGCTCGGTCTCTTCAGCAGCCCCCTCTGCTTCACCTATGCAGAGCATACTCAAAATTGTCTATTCCTTGGCCTCACTATAATGATTTTATTTACTATATTTGATATCTTGTTTTCATTTAATTCAGTCTGGACTTCTAATGCTCCATGAATACTCCTTCTCACCTGTTTGAACTCACTCATTTGCTCTCCTATCATATAACAGATATTCCTAAGGTATTGTGTTCTACATGCCTGAGAGGCTCACTGGACCCAAAACCTTTAGTACTTATGGTCTCAAGACTTAATTCTGCTTCTAGCAGCCCATATTTCGAAACACACTCATTGTTTCACCTTTTTTCCCTTGGGAGAAAAGCAACAGTGACAGTTGTAGTAGCAACAACAACAAATAGCTCTTTACAGTACAAAATGGCAACTACCATTTTGCAAAAACAAGCCAAAATATCTTTTACTTTTTCATGAGGAGCCTTTAAGAAAATGAAACTCAAGTAGTAATTCAATTATTTTACCCTAGCTCAATGCTGGTTCATAATCTAATGAACCAAAATTTCTAGTGACACAAAAATAGCAATACATCTATATAAGGTGTATACTCTGTGGTCCAGAAGTAACGACCATTTATTCTTATTATTTCTGCATGTTGCATTTATTCATTCACTTACTTGCTAAAATGTGTTTGTAACCCCAGAATTAATGCTCCAGCTGCTTTTGCCATTATTTGTGGATAAGAGCATGGTGGCAAAAAATTTGTGTTGCCTGACTCACATATTCTCAAGGTCAAACATGGTGACACTACCTCTTTATTTTAGCTCTCATGCTCTGAACAAATGTCCTTTTTATGATCTATGTAATGACACATTTTTCACTTTGTTGTTGACTTCACTGTTAAAAATCATCTTCACACATAGTGTTGAAGTGCTGCCTAGTGTTCCTAAGCTCAAATGCCTTAGGGGGAAAATACGTGTGGTAGATAAGCTTCATTCAGGCATGAATTATAGTGCTGTTGACCATAAGTTCAATGCTAATGAATCAGCAATATATAAAATGAGATGCCTATAAATAGAAACACACATAAAACAAGGTTATGCATACATCAGGTGACAAAAAATGTTGTGACTAGAGGCTTGCAGGAACCTAACCATGTATTTCTGCTAGGAGCAATGTTTTAGAATTTGCTGATTCAGTGAGGTGACGTTACAGATTGTAACTACTGCAAATAAAAAGAATTGGCTGTATACTTCTCTAACTAGGGAATGGGTAAAATACATTACAAACATGGGAAGAGGTGATTAATATTCCCTACTTGTTCAATTAGTGCAAAACCTAATTTTGAGCAGGAGAGTAGAAGAATGTGGACATACCTCTTTTGCTAGCCAAATTTAACATCAGGCCATAAACAAGTGGTATAGCAAGCACTGTGAAAACTGTCAAATATGAAGAACAATATTAGAATTGGCAAGAAGAAATGAAGAAGGAAGAGGAGAAAGGTGGGGACCAGGAGGAGGAGGGAAAGTGGAAGGAAAGGGAGAGGAGAAAAAAATACCTAAGAAAATGGTGAGTCCAATAAATCAATGTAAAAATCTACAGATTGCCAAGCTGATTAAAACGGAAATTGTAGTGCAGCTGGCTAAAGGTCTTATAATAACTATGCTGTTTAAAGCTTGTGTTTCATTCCATTTTAGAGTAATAAAAGTATGAGCAACAGAGTGTAGTTATAACAGAGTGTAGTTCTAGAGAAAGGAAACTATATTAAGATAAGCTCTTTAAATTACTGTTCCAATTTTTTGCTCACCTCAAAGTATTTCAAAGACTTTTATTTCCTTCTCTAACACATGCTAATCTTCCCAATATTTGGTTTGAAGAATGGAAACTAGGGGCAGAAGGAGAGGGGGCTTTATGAGAGTGGATGGGGGCAAACACAGGGAGCTGTCTTGTATCTGGGCTTTATAGGGAGGGAAGCAAGGCACTGTAAGAAAGAACTTAGAAGGTGTATGGGAGAGAATGAAGAAGGAGATGGGGAAGAGTAAATTGCCAAAACTGCTGTGACAACAGCTGCTTGGCATATGAATTCTATTATTCTGCGCATTTTTTTCTAAACCTTACTGCTTATAAGGGACTAGAATCTGCAGACCACTGGGAGATTTCTATAGAAAAGCTATTCACAGGATCTGGAAGAAAATGAGATAATTTTGTATTTGGTAGTATTTTGATTGTTATAAGTTGAAAAGTCTTGCTGTACTTCCTCCCATTCCACTGATCCTCCTTTTCAATCCAACTTTTATCCTATTATATAATTTTTACAATGAAGCCATTGGAGTGTAAAAAGGACCTCTATAAGGGTGGTCTCCTTTCATAACTGCAGCTCTGTACCCTTGAACTTAAATGGTTTCTATTAAGTTATATTTGTGATGTCTGCACCATGTGAAATAAAGGGCCATTATGATTGTTCAGGTGTGTGAGGCTCTTACTTAAAGAGGAATTGGCATAATAACTTTTTCATTAATAGTCTTCATGTAGTAGGGTGAATGTAGAAAAGAGTGTTTTATGTTCAGTGGACTCAGATTCTACGGTAATGTGAATTAAGAAGAAAAATATGGCTTGAGGAATTTATACTCAAGATAAAATACAGAAAGGATGAGGAAACTTTTCCGGATTTTGGACTGATATATTTGTGGATGTGATAAAGTATCTTTCCTCTAGTGTGTAACAGCAGGCATTCATAAGGCACAGAGCATAGAAAGAACTGGAAACATTTGCCATCAAAGAGAACCCAGAGTTTCCCATGTTGGTTAGGGGTTTCAGACCTGGACTGTGCAGCAGGGGCAGGCATTTTAGCTGCCTCAGCCTCTTCACTCTTGGTTGATATGTACTGTCTCTCATCTCTCCCTTTAGATTTCTTTCTTTCCAGAGCTGCTGTTTGCCTGAGGCTTCATAGGAAGGTTTTAGACAATTTCAGAGCATTCAAATGATTGATTTGTTGATCTTTAAGACTTACTCCCACCCAGCCTGGAGATTCCTGTGTTTACAGAATCTGATTGTGAAGCATTTATGAGCTTCTCATAGCTTGTTCACAATTGGTTAGGATTGGAAATGACAATAGCAGATGTAACACAGTGTCTTCTGCTAAACAAGCCAATGATGTGTCACGTAAGAAGGATGGGCTAGGGCACTGATCATGATTAATTTTTAAATGACATTTAATTAATATGGACATTCATGGACATTAGTGTCTGCAACGACATCCTGTGATCTCCATCACATTCTAAAATCTGAGACAGAGATGCCTGCTTGATGTGGCTCATTTGCCTTTGAATTCTCATGAGCAAACTAATTTCTCTAAAGCAGCTTTAATAGGTAGAGTTGAAGGAATTCTTTGAACATGCATGTCTGTTTTTCATTTACATCTTTTAGGAAGCAAAGTTATTGTATATGATTTCACTGAAGTAATCAACAATATATCAGCTAACTGTAACTAATGATATCATGCTGTGCATTAAGAACCTTATTGTCGTTTTCTTTTCCAGAATTACTAGCTGAAATCATTCCTTATAGAGGAAATTTTTCCTCAGTGACTAATTTATTGGGGGTTACTCTGAATTTGGAGTTTTGCCTTTATGACCAAAAGCTGTTTTCCGGATGAATCTAGTCGAGGTGTCACTTTTTCCAAACTTGCTGCCCTGTTCTTCACAAAGAGACATTTGATTGGTTCCTAAATAGATCCTCCAACAATTGGGTTCTATTAGAAGATGTGTCATATATTCACCTCACTTAAGAATCTCTGTGGTGTCCCAGAGAGATGAATAAAAAGATGTTAGTCAAATGGTTTCTTGGTATGAGTCCAAATGATATTACAACTTGTTCTTCTAGATTGGACCAGGAATATTTTGGAGGAGTAAAATAAATATAACTTAATTGATGATGGGGAACCTGCTACTCATTTGATGATGTTGTCTCTGGCTATCACTGTGTGACAATCATAATAATGAGGATGAAGATGGTGGTGATGATGATGTTTGTCATCTACTACTTACTCAAGACATTCTATATGCCAGACTTTATGTTAATTTTCTAAAGAATAATTTAGTGTAGTTCCCACATTAGCCATGGCATATAGTTTTTATTATTCCCACTTTCTTGACAAAAAGTTTAGTGAGGCTCTTTAAAATGCCAATGAAACAGACCTTAGTGTCAGAGCTAGATTCATACCCCTGGTCTGATCGATTTCAAAGCCTACTTTTAACCTTTGCACACTGAAAGATGTAGGATGTCAAAAACAGAATGTCTATTTGGGCCATTCAGGTAAATTAATGTCATGGGTGGGTATAAAACGATGGAAAGTAGTAAGACCTCCAATCAAATGGATCACCACTTCTCAAACTGTGTGATGCACAAAAGTCACGTGCTAATCTTGTTCAAGTTTTAGATTCTGATTCAGTAGTTCTGGGACAGAGCCTAGAATTCTGCACTTTTAGCAAGCTCTCAGGTGCAGCCAACCTGGTGATTTAAGGATCACAATTTGAAATAAAGAAAATTTTAAGCATATGATCCTGGCAAAATAGGACAAGTCACCTAGTCTGCATATGCTGGGGTAGGGGTCATACTCAGTGTGAGTCAGCTCTAGGCTAGAGAAGCATGCTGTTTAGGTGGCAAGAAGACTTTGTGATCTCCCACATTTTTAAAAGATGAAAGTTGTCTGGCCCTAAAATTGGTTATTTACCAAAAACCACCCCAGGTATTAGTGACAGAGCTTCGAACTGAAACCATGTCTCCAAGCTGTGAGTGAAATGATTTCAACTGTGGCGCTACACTTTATTGCCTATTTTACCCATAAAGTTGTGGTAATTTTTTTTTGTTGGCCTCTCTGATTTATTTAAACTAGATATGTCTTTATGTATTTGTTTCTGGTGAAAGTGAAATTCCATGTATGCATGTGTGTGAAATCCTGCTTAATTGGGTTTTTTGTTATGTTGTTTCTGGTCTAAGAGGATTTTCTGTTTTAAGACAAAACCATTTTTCAAATCTACCTTGAGTATTTGGATACTCAAGTTAAGGCCAGTTTACTGTTTTTTTCACTTCTAAAATTACTTAAAGAGTTACTCTGCATTATTCAGGAGCATCTCTTATTGCTAAGACTACTTCTTAGTGATAGGTTAACCATGAGCCAAGCTTTCCTGTTTTAATAAAATTTTGGGGAAACAGACATGAAATTAATACTTCACTACAAACCTCCTTTTTCTATAATATAAAATAGTCTTAGATTCCTTTTTGCTGTATGGCTGTGCTTCATCTTTGGTAAATTGTTTTCAAGAGTTCTTTCTTCTGTGGAAATATAGTAATTAGATTACATGATATAAAAATTTGGTATCTCCCATGGCAAATACCTTTTTAATTTTTTAAAAAGTAAAACAATGACTTAAATAGGACTTACACTAAGAAGTTTTCTTTTAAATATTAACTATAAGAGTTCACATTCATTCCCTCTTCTCCCTCTTTCTCCTATGCTGGTGTGGTTTATCAGTGCTATCTTTGTGAAGCAGGAAAGTGGAATACAAAGGGCTTTCTGAAAAATGCTATTTTTGATTTGCTAAATTCTATAGGAATATAGCCTGGAGGGAATCCACTAAAGAAAAACATCTAATGCTGTTGCATTTCTCACTTCTGCCAAGATTGTGCAATAACAAGGCCTATAAGCGACACCAGCATGGATGTGCTAGTGTTGATAAAACTTTTAGCGAGTGGCTTAGTCTCCTTCTTTGCTTTCTCTAAAGGTAAATACAATGGATCCAGGGCAGTTACTTGCAGTCCCACTTTTAGTCTCATACCTTTCAAGTTGTAAACTTATAGTCTGCATAGGTATCAAGCTGCCCACCTAGAAAACCTGCAAAAATATGGCAGATTTCAACACATTTCCTTGTGCAGTATTCAGAGGACAGAATAAATGTCTCAGCAACCCTTTAGTATATAGTAACCAGCAGTAGAAGAGTGAAGTCAATAGCTTCCATTGTTCATATGGCACCACTGGATGCATTGTTTTTGCTTGTGAAAGAGAGCCCACACACAAGAGATTAAACAAAAAAGTCAAGTATAGTATGTAGCTAACAGTTTCACTGTTCTACAGAAAATAATAGGTTTTATTCAACTTCAACAAAATGGAATTCACATTCAAGGCTGAGTAGACGATAACCTGCTATGCAGTTATGTGTTTCTGTGCAAGCATTGTGCAGGTGATAGAAACTCTTAGATTTCTACCTCCTTCTTACTGAAGACAATCTGCAAAACAAGTTATTTTAAATTACCTTGCTTTTTCAAAATCTTGAATGAAAAATCCATTTGAATAGAATATATATGCAACTCTCAAGGTATTATAAATAAAAATCCAAAATTAGAAACTATTCCAAATCAAAAGTATGTGTTCTCACTATTTCCAATGTTGTTCATATTGCCTTAAGTTTAGAGAAAACTGGATAATAATAATATATATATATATTTGTTTTTTTTTGTTTTGTTTTTTTTTTTTTTTTTTTTTTTTTGAGACGGAGTCTCTCTCTGTCTCCAGGCTGGAGTGGAGTGGCAGATCTCTGCTCACTGCAACCTCCACCTCCCAGATTCAAGTGATTCTCTTGCCTCAGCCTCCTGAGTAGCTGGTACTACAGGCTTGCACCACCACACCCAGTTAATTTTTGTATTTTTTGTAGAGACAGGGTTTCACAGGCTGAATTGGTCAGGCTGGTCTTAAACTCCTGACCTCGTGATCTGCCTGCCTTGTCCTCCAAAGTGCTGGGATTATAGGCATGAGCCACTGCGGCTGCCCATGATTTTTAATGTTGTCTTATCACTGTCTAGGATGATAGGTTTATAAGTTAAATAAAAAAGTAAAAATAGCATATTGGCTGAGTAGATTTCTTTGAGCCAGTACTTGACCTACTCTGAAAGATTTCAGAGGTGCTTTTTGGATTCACTTATATTAGAACTGTTCTATCAGAAGTAGATATATAAATTCACACCATTAATTCTGTGAAAGCCATAAATGATTATGGTTTATTTCAGGTATTTGTATACTAATATAAACTCTCTTGGGCTGTTAAAAAACCAACATATCTACCTGCAACATTATCAAAACATTAGAAGAAAACAGTCATCCACATTACTGCCACCCTCGTTCGAACAATTTTAATTCATTGTAATCTATTTTTATCTATTAATCAGTTAATTTTCTGCCTGTTACAGAAATATCAATTGATATTTTAAATCATTGCATAAATAATGAACATTTTTTTCTGACTTTTGTTCATTTAATATCACGTAATGAATATTGTTCCTTGCTGGCCCATAGGCTTCCAAATTATCATTTAAGTTTTGCATAGCATTCAATTTGCTTGATGATGCTTTATTTATGTAATCATTTCCTAATTATTGGCCTATTTATTTGTTCTTAGTATGATAATAATTGAAAAAGCCACAGTGAATGTATTCACCTTATGTTATTTAAAATATTTATTGGGCCAGGAGTGGTGGCTCACACTTGTAATCCTAGCATTTTGGAAGATCGAAGTGGGTGGATTGCCTGAGCTCAGGAGTTTGAGACCAGCCTGGGCAACCTGGTGAAACCCCATCTCTTCTAAAATACAAAAAATTAGGTGGGCGTGGTGGCACACACCTGTTGTCCCAGCTACTCAAACTGAGGCTGAGGAAGAAGAATTTCTTGAACCGGGAGGCAGAGGTTGCAGTGAGCTGAGATCACACCATTGCACTCCAGCCTGGGCAACAGAGTGAGACTCTGTCTCAAAAAAACAAAAACAAAAACAAAAACTGTACTCTTTGTAGAATATTTGCCTTTTATTAAGAATTTAAATAACTCAAGAATGATAGAGAATTTATAAGAAATATGCAAAGAAACAAAACAACTATATGCCACTACTTATAAGTAACCATTACTTATGAGACCTCAATGCCAGATATTGTCATTTTGTATTTTTGTGCATAATACAAATAGAAATATAAGTAGATCTATAAATTTCT